CCTGGCTCACTGGAAACGTTCAAATCGGTAGTTTCTCGCGAGCCAGGCCGAGGAAAGAGCAAGCCAGTGGGCCCTTGCACGAGCGAAGACACCAGGGATGCGAGGTGATTACGTGAGTTCCTCAACCTTCAGTAAGCTCCTATCTAATCTCCTCCCTCTGATCTATACAACGGTGCTTTGATTTGAGGTAAGCTCTACACGAAAAAGATGCACCTCGATTCTACGGTTCCATTGAGGCGACCAGTTCGTAGTTTCGTCGGCCGTAAGTTCTTAATCTCGTGTTCCCATTTGAAACTATTCTGGACGAATTTTATCAGACTCGTCGCGCACGATCGATCATTTGAAATTTTCTTTGACCAGCAACCTAATCTCGTAGTTCCTCACAACATTCGTGTTGTAAGTTTTTGATTTCGACGATTGTAGCTTCATATCTCTTTGAGCAGCAGTCTACTGCACTGACGCCGCCATGTCGAGCTCCTCCGTCCTCTGCTCACAGCCCTCCTATTCGTCCCTCTTGGCGTCGAAGCCCTTCCCCTTGATCTCCTTGCCCACGTCCTACTACACTAGAGTCGTTTCCGGCGTCGCTCATCTCGGCATACTCTCTGTCGTTCTCCTACTGCACTGACGCTGCAATGGCGCGCACACCGCTTCTTGTGTCCTTTGCCTCCGTGCACACTGCAGTTCGCCGCGCCGTCGACGGGGTCGATCATCTTGGCCTCCTCTCTCTCGCCCTACTACACTCGAGTCATTTCCGGTGTCGATCATCTCGGCCTCCTCTCTCGTCCACTGCACTGACGATATCATGGTGCGGGCACTGCATTCTCCTCCTTTGTCCACTGTCTTTGTGCAAGCACCGCAATTAGTTCGCCGACGGTGTCGCTCGCCGTGCCGCCGACGGGGTCGCTCGTCCACGACTCCATGCTTGTCATGTCGGACACGGCGCCACAACCACTATCCACCGTGATCGCCATTGTCCGGTGCACACTGCACTTCTTCTCCCCTTCCCTCTGCTAGCTCTTAACCCTGCTTGCTAAGTGAAGTGCTAGCTCTTAATCATACCTCATGCGTGCAACCAAACACCGAGTTCATGTGCCGCTTGGGCCAATGCAGGCAATCAAATAAAGTGCACTTGCGTATTACCTAATGCAGGGACCCTAGATACAGGCAACCAAACAACTTGAAGATGCCGCATATGAGTGTATTTTTCCAGAGCCAGGCTGGGTTAAGATGTGTATGCAACACAACTATTATTCACTACAACAACCAAACACGCCTCTAGAGTACTCTGATGTTGCATGCCACCGCTGGCATATGCCACCAGACCGCAGCGATTCTCCCGTGCACAAGTGACCATATGGTTCAAACAAAACGTTTATAGAGTAGCCGTGACACTAGACATAGGGGCTGCATTGCATGCATGCAAGAGGCGACAGGAGATAAGCATTTGTCTCCTAGGAAGTAGGAACAACCGGCATGTGCAGGCAGCAAGAGATGCATGTATTTCAAACATCGTAGTAGTACGTCCAAAAGCAGAGGAGATTCCGCGGAAATTTCGGTGCATCCATCCGTCTTTATCTCGAAGTCAGGGCAAAGCATATCCCATACGTACGTACGTACGAGCTCGTCAGACGTTGCTTTTCAAAAGCAGTCGCTACCGGAGCCTCTAGTGCGAGTCGCCGAGTGTCCCAACACTTTGAGGAAAGCGAGCGCGTGCGGTCAAATTTCGTGTTTTGACCATTTTCGTATAGAAATTCAGGATCTGATCCATGTTAGAAAGAATTTCGAGATCTGACCCTTTTTCCTACTGCCAGGGGTTCGGGCGGTAGGGTTAGACAGCCTACCGTCAGAACCTGCGGCGGTAGGATACTTATCCACGTCAACAGCGTTAACGGTCACCGTCCCACCCTACCGTCGCTGGTCCTGGCGGTAGGCTGTCCGACCCTATCGCCAGGGCCCCTAGCGGTAGGGTTTAGGGCAGTTATAAGCCGTGGGCCACCCCACCCCCTCCCCCCCTTCTCCCCCAATCAGCCGCCCCAAGAACGAAGGAGTTCTTCCTCTCGCCCCCTCTCTCATCTCCTCCACTCCCCCCTCTGATCTTCGTCGTTTGTTCACCGTTTTTGCGGATCGAGATGGCCCCGAAGAAAGCAAAGTAAGCTCCTTCGATCCCTTCAATTAGTTTTAGTCAAATAGCTTCCGATTCGTCGCATTATTTGGTTCAAATCACTCCCCTTTTTGCACTAGATTTAATTATTTTGAACCCTAGGATTGATTTAGGTTGATTCTAGATGTTATATTGTGTTAGATATGAACTCTAGTCACTAGTTGGTATGGTTATGGGAAGATGAACCCTAGTTCATATTATTTTTGGAGGATTTTTTTGGTATGATGCATGTTGGAGGAATTTGTTGCGATATGATGATGCGTGTTGATATGCTATGATGCAAGTAGTGGATATAGTTGGAGAACAAATGTTGAACCCTCAAGATGAACCTAGTTCATAATTTTTTGTGTTAAAATTTTTTATGATATGATGAATATTGGAGATGTGATGCATGTTGGATGTGGTTGGAGAAATATGATATGGTATGATGCATTTGACCACATGATGAACCCTAGGTTTAGATTTTTTTTCAAGGTGATTAACCTTTGTGTGATGAATCTATATGTTTAGGTACGAAAGCTTGGAGCAAGCACCGCCGACTCCATCACCGCCTGCTCCTCCCACTCCTCTCCAACACATTTCGTCAGAGATGCCGCTCCCGTACATGTACGAGACCTTCCCCGAGCTGCTACAGCCGGTGGGATCTGTCTCAGACGAGGTCCTAGAGGCCACGAGGGCAAAGCGGTGGCACGAGAGGGCAGAGCGGATCCTTGACGATGTCATGGCTTGATCGCAGAGTGTGAAGGAGTGGAAGGAAGTGAAGGCAAAGATGAAGGCAGATCCAAGTATCTGCCATGTCCGTCGGGAAGCGTGCATTGAAGTTGTGCAGAATTACGCCAACTATCTCCTGAGCAATTTGGGCCGGAGAATCTACTTTGAGAGCAATGCGGAGGAGAGAGCCGGGATGCCACCCCCAAGTGCATCTGTGTTTGATATCATCAACTGGGGAAGGGCGGAGGCGAAAACTCCAGCGGGCAGGGCAAGGTGGGAGTGCTTGAACGGTCGGATGCCGACCAGCGTTCCGCCTCCGCATGAACCGGTGGATCCGCTGCCGTTTCTATCTCCACGGCCCGGGCTAACATACGAGGAGCTCTGAAGATGATGATGTCTGCCCGCTCTTCGAACTTATCAGCAAATCATCCTATTAGTTTGTCTTGTGTCTTTCAATTATGTTCTCGATGAATAATGTAACTATGTGCCTCTCGTAATGCCATTTGTTCATTATCTATTCAGTTTGAACATTAACTTAACTTCATGCCATTTGTTCTTGTCAATATGAGTATACTTTCATGGTAAAAGAAATGAGTATATACTTTCATGGTAAAAGATATTGATTTTGAAAAGAAGCAATCAATTAAACTTGAAACTCATAAAACACATGACCCTCCCGTCATGGACCCTGACGGTAAGGTCACACAACCTACCGTCAGGGCACTTCAATATTTCGTTACAGAAATTTTTCGAGGCAAAAACCCAGCAACCATCTACAACCAGGGGTTCTGGCGGTAGGGTTAGACAGGCTACCGCCAGGGCCCCTGACGGTAGGGTACTTATCCACGTCAGCTCGGGCAAACGGTTGCCGTTCCCCTCCATCGCACCCTGCCGTCAGGTGCCCTGGCGGTAGGATGTCTAACCCTATCGCCAGAACCCCTAGCGATAGCGAAAGGGTCAGATCCCAAAATTCTTTTCAACAAGGGTCAGATTTTGAATTTCTATGCGAAAAGGGTCAAAACACGAAATTTAGCCCGCGCGTGCTGCCGCTACCGGAGCCTGAGCATCTAGAATTAGATGCCCATCAATCCCACAATACTGAATCCCACAAATCTGAATTCCGTGCTTTCTGTCTGTCTGTCTGTCAATTTCTTGAGCTAGACTAGATAGACACCTATACTTGACGGGACTGGACAGAAAGAAGACAACAAAGAAAATTCAGACCAGCCAAGTCTCTCAGCTCTTCTCTGCTATGCCTGGAGAGATGCTCTAGGCATTATTCCTACAGACTGAAAAGCAAAATGGACAGCTTGTTTTGATTTTGCAGCTGCGCTGGCCAAAATGGCGACGCTTTTCTTGCTCGGGTCCGGTGGTTTCCGGTGGTGCATGCCGCGTGCACAGCAATCGCAGGCTTCAGAGATCTTTATTTACCTCTCAAAGCCACTTTATTTCCCTAGGCCAGTCGTCCACAGATGCAGTTGCAGGCGACTTTCAGTCATCAAAGTCGTCCGGTAGCATGTAGACGCTTTTTTGAAGTGTAGTATAGATGGCTTTCGTTAATTTTCGAGTCTTTTTTTTTTCCTGAGGGGTCGTTAATTTTTGAGTCGTGAAATAAGTAGCTTTCATGCATGCTACACTTCCGGTAATCCGTTGTTTTTGGGCCGTAATGACCTGCCTGCTTGCAAAGCCGGATTTTTTTTCCTTGGAAGAAAACGGAAGCTTTGCGACTTTTATTTTACTTCTCATTTTTTTAATAATTAATGTTCCCACACCGTCCCCAGCTGGGCCAACGGAGGAGGGGGTGACAACCTACTGCTGCAAGAATTCAGGTACTCAGGTTGAGAGCGCTTCGCACATGAGTTCGAATCTGCAGCAGCGGACATGTTCCCTGGATGCTGGGCCGGACCAAACACATGCTAAAGTTAAACTGAGTAGTGCAAGCCTAGACTTCGGAAAGATTTCTTTGGATAGGACCAGTTCCCCTGTGTGAAAATTTTCCTGTTTTGTCTTGTACATATTTCTCATAAGCAAGATTGAACTTTTTTACAGTTTAATTCGACAATTCTTCGCTACATTCCCGATTCGGACTACGGATTTCCAGGAAGGGATACAGCGGGGATTTCCCGATTCAGAGGACTCCAAAGAAAGGATTGGTGATGGCGGAGTTGAGTTCGGCTCCAGCTACATTCAGGACAGCCTTGTCAACCTTGTCCCTTGCCAGAAACAAGATCTCCTCGCCTTCCGGTTTCTCAAACCCGCACAGCTCGAGAAACTCTATGCCTCCAAGGCTCCCAACTCTCTCCTGCAAGGAACAGAAGACATACCATCAGTCTCAGGTTATTCGGCAGGTTAGGGCATCGTTTTTACCAGTCCAGGGAAAAGGGAATTCACCTGGAATGTAGCATTGGTAAGTCTGATCTTTCTGAATTTCTCCTCGTCAGGGTTTTTAACCACGTTTCCGATGTAGGTGAGGAGTGTCTGAAAAGCCCTCTTTACTTTAGCATCCTCCTCCTGTCACAACAGTAGTCCCGTGTAGGTAAGTATGATGAAATCAATTATAATATCCAGACCTATTTTATATGCAAGTTATGTAAAAATCAGCATCATATAACTAGTACAGTTTATATTAATCATTAAGGTTTGTGAGTATACTGGACTAGCATAGAGAAAGCGCACATCACTGATTAAGTTGTTACCAAATGATAGCAAGGTTCAAAACAAAACAGGAAACCGAACTGGACAAGTCATTCCACTACAAGACAATGAGGCCATGTCGAAATATCATAGTCCCGATAGTATGCAAATACACTCGAGACAAATATGACCCTGCACAAGTCATATCAGGCATCAAAGAGAAACTGGACACAAAGCAATGTATATCAGGAGATCCCAACTGTGATGAGCCTATTTTCACCACAATTTTCTCTTCACCGGGTGCAGATGAGCCTGGGCTCAGAAATGGATATTTGGGTTATTATGCACGTTACTTTTCTTCTATGATTGCTACTACTAGGAAGATAGCAGGAGCACAAACTCTTCTATTCTAGGTAAATGATGGCACAAATCTAACTTCTTGATTTGGTCAGAGGGAACATACATAAAGAAACAAGAAATTGGAGACCTTCAAAACCTGCAGCTTGCCACTCTAACCTAGGTCCCTCAACCTCATAAACTAAAGTCTATGTTCGTTACAACTGCCATTATATGCTCCCATATGGTGATCCATAGTTCACATCAAATTAATGGACAATGCCGTGACTTCCATGGGAAAATTACGGTTCATACCTTGTTCTGCTGCTTGATATTTCGTAAGCAATCCCTCATCCGCTCTGCCTTTGTGGCTGGTCTGACAGGTAAAAATGCACTCTGCAAAATTTAAGGCCACAGTTAAAGAATTAACCAATATTAAACATATCTTATCGAAGGTAAAATGAACTCTGGCCTCTCCAGACGGTTCTAGAGGGCGCATCACAGGCTGCCCAACCAGAAAACAATGTAGGATTCACATGGAAGAGGAGTCCTCTATTTGTTCTGAGAAATGAGAGGTTCAAAAGTACAAGAAAATCTTGTCCATCTCACATTTTAGATTTTTGGGAAGGCAACTTAGGTGATCAAAACAGTGTAATGTCGTGTTTAAATTGACAAAGGTGCACAAAATCTGGATCAACAGGTTACAATGGCAAGGTCAATCGGATTAAAAAACGGTACCTTCTTCTCTTCAACAGGCGGTGGCGCACTTGGCTTGGATGCAGCTGGGGCTTCTGCCGGCAATCCAAGTTTTCTTCTACGTTCAGCCTGAGAATAAAAATATGAGAAACTGTTTGAGGCTTAAGGACTACAGCTAGTTAGCAACCAAATAAAATTGCATTCAGTTGAATATCTCCAGGTTAAATCAAAGTAAATCATTCCTTTCCTATACAAAAGGTAAATAGATACTAGTAACTGAAACCAAACTAGCAGCATATGAATATTCCTGAAATTGAGATGGATGAATAAGAAACCTTGTCCTCTTCAAGTTTCTGGCGAATCTTTTCTCTGGCTCTTTTCTCCTCCTCTTTCTCAAGCCTTCTCAATTCTATGATGCTGCCAATGGCAAGGAAAAATTAAGCAAAACTTGATATTACCAGCATAAGTCTAGTAAAATAAATAATAAACTAAAATAAAGAACCAACCGTTTCCTTTCATTTAACTCCTCCATTTTTTTGGCTTCAAGAAGCTCCTTACCAATCCTTATGCGCTCCTACAAAAAAGCCTAATCCGTGAGGCAAAATAATAATAATAACTTAAAAAATGTACACTAGATATAAAGCTAAGAAATAGTATGCTAAGGCCATTACTTTCTAATGTTGAGCCGAAGTGTAACTTGTAATGATGAGATGTTATCACATGAAACATAAACTAGCATTGAGATAATATGGATAAAATTTTGTGTTTGGTATCCTCACATAAACAATGTAGTATAGTTTGTAAACGTTGTCTTGCTGATAGTACTGCAGAGTAAAGACTAACATGAAATAAGGAAAATGTGTGTACCCTAAAAACCTCCAACAAACAATCTGTTGGAGATATACATAATAACATATTCAGAAGATGAACAAGAAAATACACATCAGCAAACAAATTTGAGACTAGAGGTTAAATAAAATAAAATGAAAACCATAGGAAGCTTTTGTACTGAAATATTAACATAAAGGGCTATCAAAAATATATTTGTTCAGCAAATATTCTTCCAATTTGGATTGTATGGTCCAAGACGCATGATTGAACAATTATAAAATGGAGTAAAAAAATGATAATCTGTCCAGAAGAAGCCAGATGGAGATATATGTTACAGGTTATGCTGATGTCGTCCTCTGTTTATTCTGATTATAACAAATTTATATACATTTAAACTACATAAGTAGGCATATATTAGAAATCAAGAAAGTAAAAAAAGACATTTTTACAGGGGCAAATGAAAGTTGACATACCTTTTCCCTTTCTCTCTCCATCCTTTTTTCTTCTTCTTCTTTCTTTTTACGAGCACGCTCCCTACAAGAGGGATGGATACTTCAGTACGAGGTGTCTTGGAAGAAAATATTATTCCACAAAAAGATACATACTGAGTTCAAGACAAGTGCTCTTTATCTCAGAAAATTTCTCGTCCATAACCTATGGCTACTATATGTTACTATGCCCTTTATTCTGAATTCCAAGCTCTAAGATTTGTGCACAATTACGGAGAAATGGCACCTTTCAAAAGTAGTGTTGCAAAAACTGCACATTTTTTCTACTAAAGCTATCATTCCCCAAAGCGCATGCTTAGGGCACTGCATGTTCACAAAAGTATAAAGGCACCATACTTATGTTGTGTATTATGGTTATTTATTAAAGTTAAAGGTAGAAAATAAAGAACATAATAAGTATCCAAATGTCAACGAATTGATTCAGTACAACAAAAAATAGCCCTACAAACAGACAAATATCTGCTACTTCTAAAGAGAATTATTTAACCACCAGCCCATGATTCAAGAATGGTTTATAAAAGCACCTCAGCTCTTGTGCCTTAATCTTCTTCTCTTCCTCAGTTAGAGAGGGCTTGTTAGCCACGGTGTTGGCCGGCACCTGAGAGGTGAAATAAGATAACTTAAATAAGAAACCTGCAGATGATATGCGCTGGAGAGAAATATTGTTCTAGCCAAAAGTGTCAGTAACATCTATTCAGCCACCATTGAACACTGTTAATAGATGCTCAGTGGACAAAACTAAGTCAAGCAAGCAAGTTGGTCCTTGTGCATGGGCAGTTGGGCACAGATGGAAGCAGCAATAAGTGGAGGAGCTTTGGCAGTTGAATTCAGCATCAGCTATAGTTTAAGCCGATAATGTTTACTTCAAAGTAGCATTTCACCATAAAGTGAACACATCCAATTAAAGCTATTTTTATACAAAATCCCTTAAATGTTGCATGCTTATATTGTGTAGACACTTCTGAACCATGGAATTCCAAAGTGGTGAAACCATGTCATTTGGGAAAAGTACAGCACCCTCATACATTCATATGAATAAACCATTGCTTCTGGAAGAAGCATGGATAACATATCAAAGAATAAAGTTGCTACTAACTGCAATTAATTAAAATATAACTGTGATGAAAAGACTACCAAAACAATACTTATTTGCAAACATGGGACCAAGCACCATCAGAAATCAAAATGGGCAAATCTCTACTCTAACAAACAACGAAGAACAAAATAAAAAGCTTCATACCATAGGCATTTCATCAATATCCGGATCCTCCTGATGCTCAGAGAGCCAGTTAATGGCGCCTTCAATGGTGCTATTACCTATGTAAAAGTACACGGGTTCAGGAAAATTATGAACATCATTGTATATTAATTTGCAGCTGCATGAGATAATATCAAAAATGGACCTATAAAATATGACTGGAGAGTGGAGATGGTAAAAGAATATTTCTATACACTGTTTATGCTGGTCCATTCAGGTAACTTAGTCATTTGACGCCACTGTCATCTTCAAGAAATTGATATAGTTCAATAAAAAGAGATTATAGTTTGATATAGTCGGTTATTCAGTATTATCACCCCTGTTCACATTTGTATGTTATCCAATAATTAAACTATCAATATTTTCTTTCATTTACATGGTTTTCCTTGGCTAAGTAATCTGATATCTTATGCCATTCAGAACCCAATAGTATAGTATATCCTAGCATGACACAGCACTTTGAGTAAGTTTATTCTTTATTCGATGAGTATGAAGTAAATTAAGATATGGCTCTCAATAAATCGCAGGCAATGTTATGTTGAGATATTCTGACAAGGGCCACAGTAAAATGATCTTATTATCATAGGCAATGTTATGTGCAGTGGCATCATCAACTGATAACATGACAGTTATAGGAGTCAGAGGCTATAGCTATATACATACCGGAGAAGTGAAGTGCCCTAGTGGCACGCGCAGTCGAAAAGCCCATCGATTCGAGTTCCCCGAGCATCTCCTTGTTCACCTCTGGCGACACCAACTCTGCCAAAATCAAAACACACCGTCAACACTCAAAATCCGTCACAGATGAAAGAAACCCTTTGCTTATCTCAGATTGGAAACCGCACCTTGCGGCTCCGCGCTCCCGGACGCGTCCACATCCATGGCCTCGGAGGCCGGCTTGGGCGGCGCCTCAAGATCGATGGGCTTGGCCGCCTCCATGGTCTTGTCCGTGAACTCGGCGTGGCCCGTGCGCTTCTTGTGCAGGTCCACCTCCTACACACACCGAATCGACAGGCGGAACTGGATCAGGCACCGACGGAGATGTAAATCTAGCACGCAGGATCGACGAAGCCACCAAATCCGGCCGGGTTCCGTCGGGGGACGGAGCGGGGGAGGCGGGATCTTACGGTCTGAGAGCGGCATGGCTTGCCGCAGTCGGCGCAGACGAGGTTGAGGACGGCCTCGGTGGACTCGGCGAAGTTGGTGTGGGAGGTGGCCTCGGCGTGCGCCTGCGCCTCCTCCACGCTCCTCAGCTGCACGCCGCAGTCGCCGCACCGCAGGGACAGCCCCGCCATTGCTGCTTCCGACGGGGTCGCTTCCGATCGAGCGAATTTGGGGGCGAAACTCGAAAGCTGCTTCCTTTTTGCGAGGAGGTTTAGGGTGCGTTCGGTGAAGAGAAGAAGAGGGGACGGTCAAGCAAGTTTATCAGGATGCGCCTGCGAACGGGATCGTCCAGGAGAGGACATCCGATTCGGATTCATCAGCTGGGAGTATTATAAGATTAGCGTCGTATTCAAAATATATTTTCAATGATACGTATATTTTTTCCAAAAACTTCTGATTCCTAAAGAAAAACGGAAATGTTACGTGTGGGCGTTCATCATCCCGATCACACGCAAGCATCTCCGTTGGCAACTTTGTGCACGAATCTTGAAACAAACCGGTCGGTTTTCTGCGCCACGTAGGACAAGACGCGTATGCGATGTGCGAATCAGTTCGCCCGCACGTTGGTTGACATCCCGCGGTCAGCGGTTGCCACTCGGAGGCGTGTGGTGGAACTGCTATGCGCCCGCACGCCACGCTCCGATCGCGGTTGACGTCAAACACGTCGCACACCTCTGCCCCCTCTCCCTCACGGTTCCATTTACTCATCCGCACCGCAGTTACTGGCACAACCCACTCGCATTTCAAACCATTGGAGGAGAAGGCGAGGGGAGAAGGCGACGGCGGAGGCGGAAGAATCGACGGTGTTCGCGACCGTCGGTGGGGCTCGCCGGAACGGAGCGGCTTCGCCGGAGCGCCTGCGGGTTGAAGGTAATGCTCGCTACAACTCTCGCAATCCCTTCCTGCATTTTCCCCCTTCCCTCCCTGTTCGATTCCTCGATCGAGATTCGTAGATATTCAGGCGATTCGGCGATGCGTCGGCGTTCCCGCCGGTGCCGAAGTCGTCTGCTAGCCGTTTTTGGTGGCACTGGGCAGTTTCGTCGCGGCCGCGGCGGCGGCATCGTTGGTGTGGTTATGCCTGTTCGGAGGCACGCACTAGTCTTGCCTATGGATTGGGCAGGTGTCTCCCGGTTTGTTTGATGCGCATTGGTTCGGATTTGTGTTTGCAGTCAGTTCGTGGGAGAATTTTGAGGGTGAATTTGAAGTCGTGGTAGTTGCCATTGAACCCTAGATCTAGTTAGTTGGTTTTGAAACTATAGTATGAGGCGAACTTGATAGTTTCATTAACTATCATGATTGTGTGGCAATTAACTCCCTGAACAAATGTGATAGTTGCCACAAACGTGTTTCCCCTTGCGGCAACAAATTACTGAAAAGATTGTGTTAGTTGCCACATATAAGCTTTCGCATGGGGCAACTATTTTTATTGAATGACTGTGATAGTTGCCACACACACGCTCTTCCATGTGGCAACTAAATTTACTGAATTACTGTGATAGTAGCCACAAACATGCTTTTTCATTGTGGCATCTAATTTTTCTGAATGATTTGTGATAGTTACCACACTGTGATAGTTGCCAAAATCAGTAGTCAATGCAGTTTCAGGAGCCAACTGCACTGGACGGCAATTAATATGCACATCAAGTGTGCCTGTTGCCACTTGGATAGTATATTCATGTGGCGAATAGAATGTGAACACACTGTCTGTTGTCATTCTGCAGATAAGACAGTATGGCAAATTGGCTGCATAATGTGGCAACCAAATTTGCATATCAATTATGTCAGATGCTATACATATGCTTTGCATGTCACAAGTTTTTGGCTGACCACATCATGTCTGTTGCCATGCCGCAGTCAGTACAATATGGCAAATTCATTGTACTGTAAGCGCAATTTTCTTTTGTTTTGCCACAACGACTTTGTGATATCTGATCACACTGTGGCAATTTTTCAGGTTCTTGAATTAGATGTGGTTTCATTGATTTGTTGTAGTATGTGTTGCATTTCAGCACGGCAATTTCACCCTAGCACATTTCTGCCGCTGAACAAGTGGCATTTGATTGGTGTATTTTTAGGACAGTGTGTGAGCTGCCACATCTTAGTTTTTCTGATGTGGAGGATTCTGTGACTTTCTATCATACTATCTTGGGCTAACATGGCAACTCCAACATTTTTTGTTTTCAAGTGCATTTACCATATGTACACTTTTTTTACTTGATAATGCAACCCACGTGCTTACTTGCCATGTTTATGTTTCCGACAATCATAGGAGGGGTGCGTGTGTGTTCATGTTATTTTTTCTGCATTCACTAGTTGACATTTTCTGTTAGGTGGCAACTGCTTACCTCTTGTATTTATATTTCCACCATGACAATTTGGTCTGTTTCTATCTCAGCAGAATGGCTCGTGGCGATCATCAAAACGATGATGAAGATTTCATGGATCCACCACAGCGTAATCGGGCAACTGGACGGAGAAAAGAGGGTGATGAGGTAAATGTTCACACATCCCCCATTCCTCCTGCTTTATGTTACTGGTTGACACCTCGAGTTTGCAGTCGTCTGACACGAACTAAAATTTCATGACATTGCAAAACATGGCAACAACTGATCACTTTTTGCAAAAACATGGCAACAACTGATCACTTTTTGTCTGTTTTTTGCAGAAGAAGAAACGTATTCGCAACAGAGCCTCCCAAGAACGACTGACTGCGTTGATTGACAAATTCACCAACGATCAGAAGGGGGCTGCTGCTGAGATGGGTATGCAGTCTATGATGGATGTCCGGTGCACGAACCTTGTCAACCCTGTATGCGACTGGCTTGGTGAGATCTACGACCCCGCCTCCAGGGAATTCGTGATTTCGGGACGTGGAAGACTACCGTTGAACGAGGAATCCGTGTTCTACACTTTGGGTGTGCCTCGTGGACATATGAAAGTCCCGTATGAGGTCAACAATGAGATCGAGGAAGCGCTGTTCCCCCGTTTGTTTCCTGGGTCTGAATCCATGCCGAACACGTCTGCAGTGGCAGATTCGCTGCAGGCCATGACGACGCATGGAGATGTTTTCAAGATGAAGCTACTCATGTACCTCATCTCAGCTATTTTCGCGCCGACCACCTCTCTTCGCCCAAGCAACAAATACTTCCCCATCCTGGTGAATGATCCATCTTTACTATTTTATTTTTATTTGATATTTTTGGCTCCGATGTCATGTGTAAAGCTAGTGACTGCCAGTGTTTTTCGATATTTTTTTCCATTTGATTTATGATGCGGCAACCTTTTTTTGTCCTGAAATTTTGTGTGGTGCAGGCGGATCTGGGAAATGTTAAGAACATGAATTGATGCATTCTCAAGCAAGATGTACCAAAAGGGTTGTCGACTGCATTTAATCGTATTTTTTTACCAGTTCTTTCTGTGAACACTATTTTTTAACACACTTTTATTCATGCACGGCAACCTGATCATAACAAGATGGCAACCTGATTATATCAAGATGGCAACTGCCATAATGACAATATGGCAACTGGCATAATAACAATATGGCAATTCCCATCATATTAGTATGGCAACTGTTATCATACTATGATGGCAACTGCCATCATAACAACATGGTAACTGCTATCACACTATGATGGCAATTAGCACATGTAGATGGCATCTTCTTCTTTTTCTTCTCTTCTTTCATGCACCTCAACTTGATTATCATGGGAACATATATTATCCTGTTTTCCTCCACACAGTACCCATGATGGCAACTGATATTTATTTCTTTTTAAAATTGTTTTGCATCAGCTCATGTACGTCGACTGTCTTGACCTATCCACCGTGGATTTTACTGGGACAGGAGGCCCGCCGCCTGCGCACAAATTTGCTGTTTCTGCGTGGACTATCAACGCTGTCAAGGCTGTGCTTGCCGCAGACAAGCCTACTGACACCACATATGGAAAATTGCAGGTTAGTTTTGGTTTCTTTGCCCACACGGCATGCCTACAAATTGGCATGAGGCAACCGTCTGTGGGTCATAAGAGATGACTACCTTTGTTATCCATGGATGTCTGAGTATTGTATCCATGTCTCGTTCTACATGGCAACTCTTTTCATTCGTGTTTAAACTTACATTCTCTCTCTTATGTCCTAGCTTTTTTTTTCTTCTTTTTTTCTTCTTTCTAGCTGATGTCCAATCATGCTATAGACTACAGCGTGTTTGGGGGGCCTCAAAACTTTGGAAAGTGAATGGACGTGCACTCAGCTCCGTCTTGCCCTGCCGAGGTAATCAAAAGATCTACATCTATGGTTTGTCGTGGAGTATTTTTTGATGTCGTGCAAGTGATTGCAATACGGGTGGTCATTGATGCTTCTTTATTTCGTGCACAGGCGAGGGCACCTGTTGAGCATCTAATAGGGCAGTTTGCATCTGGAATGACCGGCTTGCTCGGGAAGTTGGTTGAGGGGTGGACGTCCCTTAGTGGCTCTGACAGCAACGCGGTTGCGAGGCAGTTCACTTCATTTGTCCCAGAACGTACACACCGGCCAACCAGTTGCCGTGGCCGGTAATGACTACAACAGTTCCCAAGAGCCCGCTGACACACAAGATGAACTAGGTGGAGATGCTGGTCTCAGCAAGGATGACGACGATGTCATGGAGAATGTGCAAGAGGACATCGATGATGATGATCATGCTGAAGTTCACGCAGGTGGTAACAAGGCTAAGGATGCAACAGATGTCCCCCAACCGGAGAAAGTCAAACAACACACGGCTGCGAGAGGCGAGGGGGTTTTGCCATCAAAGAGGGGGAGGGCTCCAGAGGGTGTTGGGCAGGGTTCTGCTGGCAAGAGGTCTAGGACCGACCCCGTAGCTGCCAGGAAGAGATTCGACTTTTATTTTAGTTTTTTGCTTTGTCTATTTTCTTCGAACAGACTCATCCTTTTTTTGCACTTGTTTTTGTCAAGCGCGGCAACGAGTTTGCTGTCTGACAATTGCCACCTTTTTTTCCTCCATCTCATACGTGCAGCGAGCCGACAGCTGGTGGACAAGCAGTTACGAAGAAACAGGCGCCAACGCCAACCCGTGTTTCTGCTCGGTTGAACAAAGGCGCCCCCATTGCCGGTGACACCCCTTCCACCAGGT